CACCCCCACCCCCAATATATGATTCATGTTCCCCAACCGACCCGAGCAATTTTATCTCACTCATCCCATTCGAACATGCCAAAAATTTTAAGCCTCTTCATGAAACCTCTCTATTTCATAGGCAGGTATGAAAATCAAATTTTAATCCCATATTATTATTATTGTTTGAAATACCTACAAATATATCTGGTAATGAAAAAGTGAATACAATTGGTCTGAATAACCATGCTTGGTTTTACTCATTTCTCACCGAAACAAGATTTTGAGCTTGAGCAAAGAATTTGTGTTTGAGCATGAGAGCGGTTTTGTGAATACAGGCCCAGTTGTCTTGTAGAAAAGCATTTTTTTTACTCACCTAGAAGCCTGGAGGAGCTTGCTGAGGACCTGAAGCCCTTCTTGAAGACTCGAGGCTGGGCTGCAAACAGGGGACTACAGCTGATGTCATTTTCACTCTTCTGTCGCTTCAGCTTTGATTTTTTCGTTTTCACAGGGGAAGCATTTGTCTTGTCTAAGGAAATCAAGCAACAAAGTTAAATCTCAACGCAAAAGGAAGTTCTCTTATTCATATAGCATACACCTGTTTGTAAATGTCTGTACATGTACCTTACACCTAGTGCAGGTGAATAGACAGGTGGGGTAGGGATACTGTTAGTTGGATCCTTTCAGTCTGAATTTGAGGGGGTGCCACGATATATCGTAGCATATCGTATCACGACACTATCTTGTGTATCGTATCAAATTGTTTTGTTTGTCTGCATCGCAGAGCAGTACTTCAATTATCAATCAATTTTTATCAAACTCTAAAAAAAATGTACTTGTATTTTTGAATCCTTCAATACAGGTATGGTCCACTGTGCAGTCATACCCAAAAGTACTAGAAGTTATACAAAAATATGTTTCGAAAGTATTAAGTATTGAAGTCTATGACAAAACTCCTATGTTATGAAGTTGACCTTTTAAGCAAATATTTGTATTGTGATATGTATCGTATCGAAAGCATGGTATTGTATTGTGAGATATGCATATCGTTGCAGCCCTACTGAATTGAGCTACATTGCAAAAAAAATTGAAAAATGTCTGTAAGACATGAATGCCCCATATAAAGCAACCGTGACCTTGGAACCCTGAAACACAACGATGTCCGATGTTCATTTGTATACTCATACTTGACCTTTGTATACAGTTTGACGAAAATCTGTGAAAGAATGAAGTTGCTAACTGTTAACATTGAATCAGGACGGACATTGGCAACTCTATATGCCCCCCCTTTTTATTATGGCGGGGGGCATAAAAACCTATACATGAAGGTAAGGTTTGTTTTTTCGTATGGGGTTTAATATCCTCACAACAGCTGGTGTCAAGCTTTATAGGAAGACAACACCGAAAATAAGGACAGAGTTGACAGGAGAACAAAGAAAAGATCCAATTTGGTACAATGGGGGCAACAGATAAATTCTTGATTTTTTTTTTAGTGTCCCTTGCAAGAAGACACCAAAGTCCACGATTCTGCAGGCACTTCAACGATAGTTGCCACTTACAACATGCTGTGGGGTACTACAGGTCTATTCTTAACATGATTCTTCCATGGGTCCCTGTATGTGACTGACAGGGTTTTATATATATACATACACTCAAGTATCCTGTAAAGGAGGTTATACATACCCACAAGTATAGGGAGAGAGGCGGTACATATACATACCTGCTAGTACCCTGGGAGGGACAGGTGAGGATGGCGGTGTGTGGTGTGCGATCGTCTGTAATTGTTGCCGACTGGCTTCCAGCTGTTTTTGGAGCTGGGACATAAAATCTGGGTTTGAAGCTGGCTGGCCGTTGGTGTGAGCCATCTCTCGCATCTGGTTGAGGATGTTCTTCTCGAGGTCTTCCAGTCGCCGATTGACTGTTTCCTCCAGACGGTTCTGTCGGCGTAGCAGCGGACTGGAAAAAACAACACCAACATCATTTCTGAAGTACATTTGTAAATTGTACTGTATGTATATTAAAAGTGGTAACCATACATATCTAGAAAGAAGATAAAATTGAGTACTATAAGCAACTTGTCTAAGAAAAGGGACTGGATCCTGCATTGTTGGTGTTGTTTTAGTTACTTACCTGAGAAAAGGGGCAGGATCCTGCATTGTCGGAGGTGTGTTTGCTACTTTAACAGACATTCTTGCTTTCTTCGGCAGACTTGCCTCATCGTCATCCGGTCGGACAGGTGTTTTTCTTGCAAGCTCTTGTCTGGACGCTTCATAAATAGCAAAAGTTTATAATTTTTATACATCTTGAACATCACAAAAGTGCATATTGCATGTCAATAATATTTTTTAACAGTAAGTTGATTTGAGAAATGAGAAGTGGCTGGCCTCATCTAGGGCTATTCCATGATTTATTGTACGGGGGAGGTGGGAGGCTCCTGTATTATTATATCATGGGTAGTGGGGTTAAAACCAGATCTGCCTTCATTTGATTTCAACATATTTTATTGACATAGAAGAATGTTACACTGTCAAAAGGATTGGACAACAGGCTTATAGCCTATATAAGTCCTCTCCATTGATGGTAGGTATATGGACATAATGGATTGATTTTATAATAATAAGATTTTGCTTACTGTCAAACGTTTGTAAATCAGTAACATATTTGGCGTTAGAACCTTTTTTTCTCTTTTTTTTTAATTTGTTTTATTCAGATCTGCCTTCCATTCCCTATACTAAATCGCTTTTAAAATTTCAGGAGTAGTGAGGTCTATGATAAAGTACCTCCCACTCCTCCCCTACAGTTAATTCTGGAAAAGCCCTAACCATGATCTATTCTATTCAAGTCTAACATAAAATCTTATCGATGATTACAGAAGGTTTGACGTTGTGTATATATAGAGCTACAGTAACACACTCACGTATGGTCTCCCTCACACACGTGCTGTTGACAATCTTTTTACTCTTGCTGGCGAAGTTTAGGGTACAGTAGGTGTCGTAGTAGTACCGCTGCTCCGGGGCGATGTTAGTGATCATTACGGAGTGACAGGATCCACCTATCGAGTCCTGTGGGAAGAAAACAGTGACAGGTGTGCTAATATCTGACAGGTACAAGGTAATAAGTATTTATCTTTTGTTTTTAAATCAATTTACTACACCAGAGGATTTTGAGGATGCAAATACCTAGAATGTATACACAACGTTAACAGTAATGGATAATTTACCCTGAAATCCATTACAAGCTAGACAAAAATAATTCATAATTCAACCACCCTCATCAGGAAACTGAATTTCAACAGCGAAGCTAGGATGAAATAAGCAAATATGCAAATATTTATCATACAGTATTTGAAATAATCATAGGTTATACACAAGCGGCAGTTTTGTGAATATCCGTCAACCTTAAAAAGAAAAAATGTATGAAAATTCACATACCTGTAGAAGCCTAGTAAGTTTACTGTTTCTGTAGGGTACCCGAGGCTGTGAACATACAAATATCGTCAGGGTATTATCTCCTGATTGTGTACTTGTAAAACAGGTAAACAACGTACACACATCTCTGACTTCTATGTATTATCTATGATATAATTTTATATTTACATTTCTACTGCATTCTCCTCTATAAGCATATCGGAAAGAAATTGCATTCATAGAGATATGAAGACAATTTGATCAGCGTCATTTTGAAGCTTCTCCTTTTGCCCCGAATAATATGAATAAAATAAAGAAGCTAACATTTTTGTGTCGTTAGGCTGTTCATTGTGACAAACACCTCAATATTGAAAATGTTAAGGAATATCTGTATTTAGGTTAATGATAGCTTAACATTTTGAATGTAAATATAAGGATTGAATGGTATATTTTTTTAAATGTTCATAACGGTATGAACACAAATTGGTTACATACATATTTACCATGAAGCCCTAGCGTTTGGACTGTAGGATGGCTGGATAGTTTATAAAACTTGAAATATTGAAGGAGATCATTATAAGTCACTGATAAGATAAAGATCTTGAGAAAAAAACAAAAAAAAAACACGCCACCCGTAATTGTTCACGTAAAAGATTGTTTAGCCTACATACTAGGTGGTTGTTTATGGCGTCGACGACTTCTCCCAACACAAACAGGGACTTGTTGATGGCCCCACTCTCCTTCAACCTGTATATAAACAAAAACAACATCATGTATACAAGCCCTGCAGACAAAAACGTGCAACAAGTTAAAACAGTATTTACCCTATCTCAAAAGTACAGATAAGTTAAAAACTTTAATGTTCTATGTGTATACTGGACACCCATATGGGACATCATGATTTATGTTGTTTGTAGTGAGTTCCTAGTTGTTAAAAATCTACTTGTTTATACATTGTTACTGTCAAAACCAAATTCCTTGGCCAGTTTAGATAGAAGCCTTGATTGGCTAAAGTCCAGTTTTGACCAAGTGCACTATACATGGTACATGCACACCAAACCATACAACTATACCGAATTTAAAAAGTAAAGTAAAATTTGTTATCCTGCTAGAATTTGTCCAGCCAAATTTTGGCATTAAAAAGAGGTTTGATGATGCATGGAGAAAGACACATATTCATGAAACCGTCCTCATGCCCAAGTATGGATTTTGTGCTCAAGTCTAATTTCTTGTTCTGGTTATAAATTAATGAAAAAACATATTTTGTCAATGATTTGGAACAATTTTGAAAGATGTAAAGCCGAGTACTGTTTTCAAGGTTTACAATTGCTTTTCTTATCATTTGACATGTTTTTAATGAGTTAAAAGAAAACTTGTTTGAGCACAAATCCATGCTTGAGCAAGGAAACTTTTTCATGAATACAGGTCCTAGCCTTTCAACTGGAAGCTCACCTTATGCCCTGGTTACCCGTCCTTCTGTTGTCCTCAGACCCGGCCAGATCTATCAGGTAGATCTTACCGTGTAGTTCTCTGAATGGTGCACACAACTGTGACTTTCTCAGGTCAAGCCGTAAAATACAGTGGCTCCTACTTGATCGGTCATTCAGCTTCGTCACTGCCACCGTCCTAAAACAAAACAGGTAATACACAGAGTTAACAGGTAATACACAGTGAACAGTGAATACACAGAGTTAACAGTAAATACACAGAGTTAACAGTAAATACACAGAGTTAACAGTGAATACACAGAGTTAACAGTAAATACACAGAGTTAACAGTAAATACACAGAGTTAACAGTGAATACACAGAGTTAACAGTAAATACACAGAGTTAACAGGAAATACACAGAGTTAACAGGTAATACACAGAGTTAACAGGTAATACACAGAGTAAACAGTAAATACACAGAGTTAACAGTAAATACACAGAGTTAACAGGTAATACACAGAGTTAACAGTAAATACACAGAGTAAACAGTAAATACAGAGTTAGCAGTGAATACACAGAGTTAACAGTAAATAAACAGAGTTAACAGGTAATACACAGAGTTAACAGTAAATACAGAGTTAACAGGTAATACACAGAGTTAATAGTAAATACACAGAGTTAACTGGTAATACACAGAGTTAACAGTAAATACAGAGTAAACAGTAAATACACAGAGTAAACAGTAAATACAGAGTTAACAGGTAATATACAGAGTTAACAGTAAATACACAGAGCTAACAGTGAATACACAGAGTTAACAGTTAATACACAGAGTTAACAGGTAATACACAGAGTTAACAGGTAATACACAGAGTTAACAGGTAATACAGAGTTAACAGGTAATACACAGAGTAAACAGTAAATACACAGAGTAAACAGAAAATACAGAGTTAGCAGTGAATACACAGAGTTAACAGTAAATACACAGAGTTAATAGTAAATACAGAGTTAACAGTAAATACACAGAGTTAAAAGTAAATACACAGAGTTAACAGTAAATACAAAGTAAACAGTAAATACACGGAGTAAACAGTAAATAGACAGAGTAAACAGTAAATACAGAGTAAACAGGTAATACACAGAGTTAACAGTAAATACAGAGTAAACAGTAAATACACAGAGTAAACAGAAAATACAGAGTTAGCAGTGAATACACAGAGTTAACAGTAAATAAACAGAGTTAACAGGTAATACACAGAGTTAACTGGTAATACACAGTGAAGAGTGAATACACAGAGTTAACAGGAAATACACAGAGTTAACAGTAAAAACACAGAGGGAACAAGAAATACACAGAGTTAACAGTAAATACAGAGTAAACAGTAAATACAGGGAGTAAACAGTAAATACACAGAGTAAACAGTAAATACAGAGTTAACAGGTAATATACAGAGTTAACAGTAAATACACAGAGTTAATAGTAAATACAGAGTTAACAGTAAATACACAGAGTTAACAGTAAATACAGAGTAAACAGTAAATACACGGAGTAAACAGTAAATAGACAGAGTAAACAGTAAATACAGAGTAAAGAGGTAATACACAGAGTTAACAGGTAATGCACAGAGTTAACAGTAAATACACAGAGTTAATAGTAAATACAGAGTTAACAGTAAATACACAGAGTTAAAAGTAAATACACAGAGTTAACAGTAAATACAGAGTTAACAGTAAATACACAGAGTTAAAAGTAAATACACAGAGTTAACAGTAAATACAGAGTAAACAGTAAATACACAGAGTTAACAGTAAAAACACAGAGTTAACAGGTAATACACAGAGAGTAAACAGTAAATACACAGAGTTAACAGTAAATACAAAGTAAACAGTAAATACACGGAGTAAACAGTAAATACACAGAGTAAACAGTAAATACAGAGTTAACAGGTAATATACAGAGTAAACAGTAAATACACAGAGCTAACAGTAAATACATAGAGCTAACAGTAAATACACAGAGTAAACAGTAAATACACAGAGTTAACTGGTAATACACAGTGAACAGTGAATACACAGAGTTAACAGTAAATACACAGAGTTAACAGTTAATACACAGAGTTAACAGTAAATACACAGAGTTAACAGGAAATACACAGAGTTAACAGGTAATACACAGAGTTAACAGTAAATACACAGAGTTAACAGGTAATACACAGAGTTAACAGTAAATACACAGAGTTAACAGGTAATACACAGAGTTAACAGGTAATACACAGAGTTAACAGTAAATACACAGAGTTAACAGGTAATACACAGAGTTAACAGTAAATACACAGAGTTAACAGGTAATACACAGAGTTAACAGGTAATACACAGAGTTAACAGGTAATACACAGAGTTAACAGTAAATACACAGAGTTAACAGGTAATACACAGAGTTAACAGTAAATACACAGAGTTAACTGGTAATACACAGAGTTAACAGTTAATACACAGAGTTAACAGGTAATACACAGAGTTAACAGGTAATATACAGAGTAAACAGGTAATACACAGAGTTAACAGTAAATACACAGAGTTAATAGTAAATACAGAGTTAACAGTAAATACACAGAGGTAACAGTAAATACACAAACAGACTACTCCCAAGTGACATCAGGAGTGTCTTTTACATACATTGACTGTACTGACTGACACCAGCATCAGAAACTTAAGTAGTCAGGCCCTTTTAATTTATTTGAAGCTTAACAAATTGTTAACCCAAATTTTCAAAATATTTCTGAGAACTACCGCAAAATAAAAAAAAATCTTCTGGATTCAAACAGGAATTTATTATGAAATTAGATTTTTGGGCGTCTTTTAAGGGCCATTTTTTTCAGTAAAAACTTCTGCAATACGCGAATTCTCAAAATACAGAAATCAGGATGTGTAACCTCTCTTCTAATCTGTATTTCTCTTAAATTGTCTCAAAATACAACACTAGTCGTTAGTCGGACAATTTAGAAATTATCTTGTAACAAATATTTCATCTTCCTGTATTTTCTGAATTAATTTTTATGAGAATAACACCAAATAACCACCAAAATTGTATTCACAAAAAAAAACATCGTTACACATACTACAGCCAGATCAATCCTACTTGCCTTCCTGGTTAAACCTACCTGTTATTGGATGCTGGTCCAAAATGAACTTTAAACTCGTCAAAACTTTCTATCTCCCGTTTCGCCAGTCCCGGGACAAATATATTTTTATCTCCATCTTCTCTGATAGGCAGGTCGGAGTTCTTTACATCTAACAGGTCCATTACCTATAAATGGAGATCAAAACACATATTAATGTCCATTTCCATACATGATGCATCAAACTTTGTTGGAGGAGGGAGAAATAGGGGGAGGGAAGATAAGAAAAGAGTCACAAAGGCAAAGAATCTAATATTTTAATTTTATATTGCAAAGTTGGAGTAATTTTTACAAACTGCAATTTATACCTTTTATTTTTAAATTTTTCAGATTGGATTTTTTTTCCCAGTAATTGATATTCACTAGTCCTTCTACTACATGTATCACTGATTTGTAAAACTTGAAAATACAAACACTCGCTTGCAAAAAGCATTTAAACAAACAGCAGTTATATCAAAACGTAAAAAATAAATGACACTTGGACAATATATTTCATAAGTCATAAATGAACTAGTTTTCACCTCCTAAACAGAGAAAATGAGTAACGGAAAATTACAACATAGATATTGACTTTAAATATTGGATGTTGGTTCATACGATCGTTCCTGCTGTCAGTCCATATAAGTACTGTAGTTTACAGTGAAGGGTCCAGTTCTTTGAAAAAGTCATAAAACGAGTATGTTTACTTATTGAAACTGATTTTATTATTTGAAAGATGGATGTAACACACACAGGAAATTACACCTATTAAATTTTGATATAGATACTGTGTGCCAAAGATGAACTACATTGCACTTTACAGCTGTTTCATCTTTCTAGGACTCATCCGTGATATTTTTATTAAAAACAAAAAACAAAAAACTTTCTTAAATTATGATTTCCCTCAACTAAATAAAGTCTGTTCATTGTATGGATCAATCTGATTAAAATCATATGTTACATGGCTTCGTTAACTTCGTACTACGCCTGAACATCTGAGTGTGCCGCGGTCAGTGTCACGTTCAGGTGACCTTTATATTTATAAATACTCATTAAATTTTGACCAATCAGAGACCCTCTTTCAAAAGGGCGCTCGGAGATGTAACAAATATGTCGGACATTGATGAGAATGATGCGAAAGTTCTGAAGTTATTTGAGATTGATCGTCTGAAACCCGAACAGAAAAATGGAAGCTTTATTAGAGAAGAAAGACTATGGTGGTGTTGCCTACGCAATTATTACCCAATGGGTACGTTTTCCTTGGTGTCGTAGAAACGTCAGTTCCCGCCGCCATATTTGTTTTGGAAAACTAATCTGTTCGATACCCCTAACTATTTATCTATCAACCATGATATTCCGATTCGCTGTCAAACTTTTGCCAGCGCGCCTCTAATTGGTTCATCTAAAGGTCACTTGAACGTGACCCTGACCGCGGCACATTCAGATGTTCAGGCGGAGCCATGTAACAGATGATTTTAATCAGATTGTGTATGGATGAACCCACTGTCCCTACAGAACAAATTCTACCTTTTCGTTGTAGATCTCCAGGTAAGAAAAGGAGACATTGTACTTCCACTGCTCGCCCTTGCAGGCTTTCTTTTCTTCTGAAATTTTCTGGAACACTCCGTTGATGACCCGAGGAATGACGCCGGGGTTACTTGAGGTACCCAGCATGGTGTGAGTTTTTCCTGTGAGGTGCATGCAAATCTTCTTGTTAATTTATGTTGTTACCAAAACACATGATCAAATGACACAGATCCAAATATTGTAACAATCCTTTAAAGGGACAATTTAGTGAAGTAGTTTTTTTTTATAATCTTGTCACAAAATTCTTCACGATTATATAGTTTGATAATCCTTATGAACAATTCATGTCGGGAAATCGACAAAAGACATTGTTTTCTTAGCGGTTTTAATCAGCTGTCTGTGAATTTCTAGCTAACAATAATGTCTTTCTAATCAAGGAGAGAACGTAAATTCTGGCTTTACTTAACTAGCTTCTTTTGAATACAAATACAGGCATTTATTCTGAATCAGAAGCATCTTCCAAGCACATTATCATACTCAAATTAAGGGGATGGGCTTAAACTAGTACAGAAAAATGAAAAAGCATTTGTAGTCATATCCTAACTTCTTACATCAATGAAATATGTTTTTAATGTAAAGCTTAAGGTAGCATATATATACTATTAAACTGAAATATGTATTAATTCTTATTTTTTATGAGGCAGCCATCAGTTCCTGGAAAGACAGTATGGATACCCTCAGGTCCTCTCCTAAATGAGTTAAGACTGGTTAAACGGGTCCTTACCAGCCCCTGTGGGTCCATAGGCAAATATGGACACATTCTGTCCCTGTAAGGCATGCAGAAGTTTGGGCTTCAAACATTCTTGGAACAGCTTCTGCTGAGTGGCAGTCATATCATACACTGTTGTGAAACTGAAAATATGAATGTTTAATTTCCATATTTTATTTCTTATTATTTCAATGGTGTCTTTCTAAAGATTTTCTCCCCTTCTGTATTGAATATCTATAGATATATGTACATGTACCATAATGCTGTAACCGGAATGAGAGAAGATTATATAGGTAATGCCTGTTGTCGAATCCCTTTATTTTGAAACATCTTGAATTGAGAATTTCATTTGTATACCTACTGGTAACAACAAATCACCATATTTGTTACACCATCAAAAATTTAAGAGAGCTCTTATCTCGAAATTGTGTTAAATATATCTAGTGTTTTCATTGTGAACGTCTATGTGGTGTTTTATCGAAATTTTGGGTAAGAGGCGGGAGAAAGAATCAAGAATTATATAGGCATATGTTAAATATGGAATTTCTATTCTTAAGTATAATAATATCAAATTCAATTTAGAGTCAGAACTTTGGTAAAGCCCCAGTTCTGATCCAAATTGTATGCATTCATGTAGAATATACTTACATATTAGAGGCTGTATATATATATTAACCAGAAAAACCTCAGTACAGAGGATCAACTTACTCATATTTGATATTTTCATTGACGTTGCGGTGGTTGAAAATTTCTATTGAGTTAGCAACACAGCTCACACAATTTTTGTCTTCTGCCTTAAGAATGGGTCGTACACGGACCACCACCGTCACCTTGGATTTCTTCTTATCCATACTACGAAATAAAGATCAACAATTACATTAAAACACTTTTAAGATTAAATAAGTATGAAAACTGCCTTTACATTGTAATATATGTTTTTTTCTCTACCAGAGTTGGGCAATATATATAGTACATTACTTAATTTCATACACTTTGTCACAAATCTAATTTTTTGGAATCTATACAATGACATCAAGATTTTGGGAATGTTCAGTTGTTTACAATTCATACCAGTAATTGTATGAAAAAAATGTCATACAGATGAAATGTATCACTATAGCTATGTAGATGGGTCTTTATTAAGCAAGTATTTTTCTGGGTTTCACCACCTTAGGCCAAATTACAACAGGATTATTTTTACATCAATGCAATAAATCTTAGTTTTATATAAATGTACTGGTACATAACAAAATGTCAATATCTTACCTGTTAATGTCACTTAGGCCAATTAAAAATGATGTCTGTTTCCAATTACCCTGCTTACCTTAATTTTCAGTACCTACCCTAAACCTTTTTCTGACAATTTTCAAAGTTGCACTGCTAAAGTAAAGGTTACACCCCTAATCTATATAAACCTTATAAAAGATATTGTGAAATAAAATTTATTACCTAACTACCCCATTTTTTTCTGACATGTAACAGGAAACAAACTGTTTTTCTTTGGACTTAAATGTAATTTAATAATGGCTATATAGCTAGGTTGGACTTTTTTAAGAGAGTAAAGTCTAACCTAAGAAAAGAAAGCAGTTATGGCATTGTTAATCACATTGTTTGTGAGGTACATGTATCTGTATTAAATTCTCACTTCTTATTCAAGTGGAAGTTGCTTGGCGATGAAATTACAGCACACTGTTTTGTTTGGTGCAAAGTTTTTTAATTTTTATTAGAAATATTTAAGTGTTAATAAAATATGATCTGAAGTGTTGTCTTTATTTTCAAACTCCCAATTATAAAGAATAAGCATAATATTCATTCAACATTACAGTACCAAAATTAAAAAATCTGTAACATATTGTGCATAAACTGCTTTGCAGATTTATGCAAAGTGGACATGTAATATTTTCGGTATATACCAAAAATGATCCTAATAATCAAAAAGTGAGAATTCTAAGCATATTATAGGGTGTTTTTTGTATTACAGTACAGTAACGTTACTGTTATTATTTACAGAACTTAAGGCTCCTGTGTGACTTGATTTTAACCAATCTGATTTTAATGTTGATTAAAAATAGCCTGGTTCAAAATAGCTAATATTGCTCCACAGTCCAGCTGCTTTTCAATCATTGGCAACGGATTTATGAATATGGAATATGGATGAAATCCAATATTTATAAATGCAGTCTTAAGTTCTACC